CACACGTTGGGCCCAAAAACACAAACAAAATAAAGTAAGGAAGCTGACAGCCTACCTTTGATGTTTTACAATGGTGCTCCATATTGCAGGCAACATCGGCACCGTTGAGCCTGTTATGTAGGCCTGTGTGGAAATAAAATGGTAATACAATAAGAATAAAAGAAATATTACAGACATTACCTCGGTTTACCCGCGACGCCCATAAGTACGGCCAACGTCCGTACCGGTGGTTGTTTTTTTTGTTAGGTGAGCGTGCACTTCACCATTTGAATCCGCACCAGATCCCATTGTTTTATTTTCTGCTTTGCGAATACTTTTTTTTATATTAGAATGAATTTTTTTTATATATATATAATTACTTTGTTTGTTTTTTATATATATATAAATTATTCACTAATCTTCAATCACTAAAAATTAGAAATGTGGATTGCTCGCACAATCAAAATAAAGAAATATGTAAAAGCTTTGGCACATTTTTTGTTTTGGTTTCTTTTGATCAAAGTGACAGCAATAGCTTTAGGAGTTGTAAAGATCAATGCTGCCAGAGCAATGCACAATGGAAGTATTAAAATAAGTTATAAAAGGAAAAAAGTGGGTGATGCAGGTGGAACGTTCGGAATGTACAAAAGAAAAACAGTATTAACTGAAGGTTCAAAGAACGACCTCCAAAAGTGTACGGAATGAGTTTACAACGGGTGAAATTACGGAAAGATGATAGATATAAAAAGGAAAGAGTGTTTGCTAGCGGCCTTCTTGAAAATGATTTGAACGGTGACGGTCGATGTCCGCGAGCAGTTAAAAAAGTTTTTTTATTGGTTCAATTTAAAATATGTGATTGAAATATATTAAATAATAAATAAAGTGGATATTTAAAAATAAAATACCAAAATAATGAATACTGAATTGAATACTGCAAATGATTATAATTGATAATTGTGTTATATTAAATTATTAAAAATATTCAGTGGAACAAAAATGTTAAAAATGACAATAGCATTTTTTTTTGCAATGCACTGTACATATGGTGTGAGAAATTTAATAAGTTAAAACTACCTAAAGTGCACTTTTATATGCAAGTTAGACATATGTACGAATGTACGAAAGAAATATTCTTTACGCTTTAAACGTTTAATTTATTCTTAAAAATCGGAGGCTTGAATTATCGCTAAAGAAAACTAAAAAGTTATAAACTAATATTTAAATATTCTTTACGTTTTAAACGTTTAATTTATTCTTAAAAATCGGAGGCTTAAATTATCGCTAAGAAAACTAAAAAGTTCTAAACTAATCTGTCCACTTAACTGATGGCCATAAATTGAAAACATCCCTATCTCAGTGGCATGAATAAGGCAGCAGCAAAGAACAACAAGTGAAAAGTAAATCCACCGGATGAAGAATTAGTTACTCTAACTGATCCCATTTTACAAATGAATGGCACATCACGCAATGATCTTATTGACTATGCAGAATCTGTAGAAGCTCCACAAGAAAGCAGCAACAAGACAGCAGAAACAACAACAGCTAAGTGGCGAAAAATTCATTATTTCACATGATATACCTATATCATTTATAAAATTTTTTTTTAATAATTATTTTATTATATAATTTTCATAATTTTTATTATTTTTTTTATTATTATTGAATTCTTATATCATTTATATCATTTATAAAATTTTTTTAATAATTATTTTATTATATAATTTTCATAATTTTTATTATTTTTTTTATTATTGAATTCTTATATCATTTATATCATTTATAAAATTTTTTTAATAATTATTTTACTATATAATTTTCATAATTTTTATTATTTTTATTATTATTGGATTCTTAATATTTAATTAAATTAATTGTTGAAACAGGAGTCAGAAGGAAAAAAGGGGAAAAGAAACATTTAAACTTAATATATATGTGGGTATATAGGCAACAACCAATATACTATGAAAGTACTTAAGAGTACAGATAGAAAGAGAGTCTTAGGTTTTATTTTAATTACAGGTTTCCTGGCTGGTGACGTCACCAACGTGGAGGCGATTCGTAAATAAGAGTAGCTGGATAAAAAAATGCTACTTGTAATGATCCTCTCTTTGTTTGTTTATCTTTTTACTTATTTTCTTTTTCTCTTTGGGTTTTTTTTACTCTTGATTTATTTTTGTTTAATATTTCTAATATTATTTGAATTTGTTCATTATTTTCTTATATTTTTTTTTATTTTTTTTTATTTAATATTTCTTTTAATTTTATCATGTCAATAATTTCATTTACATAATTATATTTAATAAAATGAAGTTTGTTAGTTATTTAAGCTTAGTTTAAATACCTTTTTGCTTGTTTTCTTTTTCTCTTTGGTTTTTTTTTACTCTGAATTTATTGTGTTAAATATTTCTAATATTATATGAATTGTTCATTATTTTCTTATATTTTTTTTTATTTTTTTCTATTTAATATTTCTTTTAATTTTATCATGTCAATAATTTCATTTACATAATTATATTTAATAAAATGAAGTTTGTTAGTTATTTAAGCTTAGATTAAATATTTGTAACTCATCATTTATTTTTGTTTGTTTTGATTCAACCAAAAATATAAGTCATTAAAACCAATAATTTTTTTTGTTTAGTTGAAAGGTTATTTAGATATATTATATGGAAAAGAAAAATTCCAACATGATGTCTGGCTAGGGATATATTAAGCTCAATAGGTTAGTACAGGGACATGTTATTAGGGGCGTATAGGAGAAGAATGTAATAGACTGCTTATGAAGATAGAACAGTTGACAGGACTGAAAGACTTGAAAAAAAAATTACTAAATAGAACTAGATAGAATTTGTCAATGGCACGATATTTTTTTTTGTTTGTTGTCAGCCGGTGGCCAATAGTTGCCAAGAACTTACACCCAAAAACGGCGAGCATACCGGGCCTGCCAGCGTGCCATGCTAGGCTTCTAGAACCACCATAATCACAACATGGCTGACATAACAAATGGTGCCCAACGAACGACGAGACAACGACGAGATAACAGAGACAACTTTGGGACAGACAACGGAGATTTGCATTTACTTAATTGATCGATTAGCCAGTGGCTTAGTTAACATTCCTCTTGTAAAAGTTTGTTAAAACAAACTATACATTGCGATGTCACTTAGTTTTTAGGTAGATTGTTGGTTGAAAATGTTATTTAGTTTTTTTAAATTTTTTTACTATGAAGTATGGTTAGTTATAACCGGCAGGTTGACTAACAATTGTCTTGTCTAATTTCTGTTCCGACGGAATAGGCATTGCAGTACTAGCGTAGTTCATTTCGTTTGATATGAAGTCGTTTTATCTTGAACCAGTTAAAAGTAAAACTATGTCTTCAAAGTTTTTTAGGAAAGTCAATTACATAAACTCTTTCATCCATACCTGAGTAATGATAGATTTAGGTATTGTTGTGTTAGGGCCAGTGGGATTGACTTACTTAACAAGTAATTCTTGAGTAGATATCAGGACGATAGAATTACATGACAGACAGACAGATAGACGAACGTTTTATATAAACTCATAAGCAAGTTTACGTCTAATCATGATGTGTCCTGATTAATAGTACTACCCAGAGCTTAGTAGTAATTTGAATTTAATTTATAACAAGGACACAAATTGCCATTATAGTAAATTGGTAATAAGTTTAATAATATCATAATATAATAAGTTTTTTTTGAGTTCCCAAAAGCAAAACCTTATTATAATATATATGAAGTAATTTTTCGAATTTTTCTTTAACTCCGATAGTTAACAAGTTCTTGCTAGATAGAATAGTTTTATCTGAATTCAATTTTTGAAATTTTTTTTGTGAATTGCTATATTAATTAGAAATATATCAGATAAGGATCAGAGGTGTAACAAATATGGAGCCTACATATAATGAGGTCGAGGTAGATGAAGGTGCTAGCAGCCAGGTAAGAGGTGCTAGACCTAAAACTAAGAGACGTCCCTTAACAGGAAAGTTAGCTCAGAAGCCAGAAATAAAATCAGACGAGAAATATGCACGCCAAAGATCTTTTAGTTTCGATAGTAAACTCGAACATTTAACTCTTGATAAGGTTAGCGACTCCGAGAGTCCGACCGAGATCGAAACCAGATCGAAAGACAGAGAAACGGCACGCAAAGGTAACAAAGAGTTACCTGGCTCGTCAATGAATGAAGAGTTGGTTAGGCAATTTGCAGGTATGATGAGACAACAACAAGAGTTCTTTACAGATTGTATTCAGTCTCTGAGAGTAGAAGTTGGGGCTCTGAATAATAGAATGAAAGTAGTGGAGGGGAAACCTTTAAGTACAAGTCCCCAACATGCTACAAATGTGAGTGTGGATTTTGATAAGCCATTTAAAAGGAACGTGGATTTAGAAAGATGGCACATCAAATTTGATGGCTCCAATCGAGATATGACGGTGGAAAGCTTTTTGTTTCGCGTCGAGAGAATGCGTGAGCAGTATGGTGTGTCATATCAGCAGCTGTTTACCAAATTCCATTGTCTGCTGTCAGGTGATGCTCTGAAATGGTTCTGGCAGTTATTGGAACACCAAGAAAGTAATCGGTATTTTGATTATTTTCAGTTAAAACCAAAGTTATTAGCTCAGTTTAAATAAGCAGAAAGTGATTATGATATAATCAGAAGGATCATGGAGCGGAAACAACAACCTAATGAAGATTTTGAGCGATTCTACAAAGACATCCATGACTTGACTTTCAGGCTGAAAAGGAAAATACCGGAGCCAGACCTGGCCGCTATTATCAAGAACAATATCAGAGCAGGATTGGCTAGCCTGTTGTTTTCAGCTACTTTCAGCTCTTTGACCGATCTACGGAGGGAGTGTAACCGAGCTGAAAAATTGTTAAGAGAAAACAAAGGGAGGAATCAACATATCAGTGAGGTTTGTCAGAAAGAAATAGAGTATAGGGACTAGAAAAATAACCCTAGATGGGGGGTAGAGGTAATAGGTTTGGAACATCGTGAGAAAGGTATGGATATGTCAAAAGTCCGAACTGATCCAGAACCGGAGAGATTGACCCGGTATAGAAGTGCGGTAGAGAAGGATGGTAATAACGATGTGGGAAAAAGTAGGCAAGATGGAGGTGCTCTTTGTCCATCACCTTTCCACTTAAATTTGTGCTATTCGTGCGATATGCCAGTAGACTTTTATAAAATTAGGCAAGGTTCTGACCAAAAAACCATGTGTAAGTCCCATTTTCATGATATGACGTGCTTTTTGTGCAACAAGAACTCATCGTATTGTAGATATGATGGTAATGAGGGAAACGGTTCAAGGACATGGACGCCCAAGGACATGGACGCCCATCGATTCCATGTGGAATCGATGTCCACAGAAGCCGAACCCAGGGTACAGATACAAGTAGGGAAAAGAGGTGAACATCACAGCGAGCACTGTAGCAGTAACGAAAGAACAAGGGTAGTTAAACCACTACATCAACACAATCTGGAATGTGAAGAGAACCGAGAAAGAATTTTTAATGTGGACGTATCAAACCAATGTAAAAGGAATAGGAAATTTAGAAAAATTTTAAAACTTAGGCAGAAAAGGCGTTTGGTTAAGACAAGTCTTAGTAAAATTGTAGGTACAATAGTTACATTAGATGGAGATAATAGAATTTATGTCAAAACTAAGGTTAATCAGGAAGAAGTGATGGCCTTATTAGACTCAGGAGCAATGGCCAACTGTATAGGAAAGGGAGCATTAGAGTTTCTACGAAAGCAACCAAGTAAGCTAGTGAAATTAACAGGTAAAGCCATAAAAACTGCCAGTGAGGGAGAGGTACCTGTGATTGGAGTAGTATCACTACCAGTCCTTTGGGAAGGTCAAACTGAAATTATGGATTTTTTAGTAGTACCCACACTACAGCAACCATTCTACTTTGGAATCGACTTCTGGAAGACATTTGAGATCCCCTTGATTACCAAGCGAATCCGAAAAGCTGAAACGTTAGGCAACATAGGCGAATTGACACCTTGTTCTGCTGATTTAAAATTAACCAAACAACACCCATTGAATACTAGCCAGCAAACGAAATTAGAGCAAGTTATTAAGGAATTTCCTTCTTTTAGTGAATTAGGCTTAGGAAGTACCAGTGTCGAAAGTCATAAGATAGAGGTAACGAATGAACAGCTACCGATGAAGCAACGACACTACCCGATTTCGCCTGCTATTCAAAAGCTTATGTATGATGAATTAGATCGAATGTTGAGCCTAGGAGTTATTGAAGAAAGCAATAGTAGCTGGAGTTCGCCTGTAACCTTAGTTGTGAAGGAAAATAAACATAGGTGGTGTTTAGATGCACGTAAGGTCAACGATCGCACAATCAAAGACGCCTATCCTCTGCCCCACATTGAAGGTATCCTAAGTAGGTTGCAGGACACCAAGTATATTTCGACGATAGATCTCAAGGATGCCTTTTGGCAAATTCCGTTGGAGAGGGAATCAAGAGAGAAGACAGCGTTTACGGTACCAGGTAGGCCACTGTACCAGTTTACGGTTATGCCATTCGGGCTGTGTAATGCCGCTCAGAGAATGTGTCGTCTGATGGACAAGGTTATTCCAGCAGCTCTACGTGAACGTGTATTCGTTTATCTTGATGACCTATTGGTATGCTCAAGTGATTTCGAAACTCATATGATGTTATTAAAGAAAGTTGCTGATTGTCTAAGCAAAGCTAACTTGACAATTAATGTACAGAAAAGTAAGTTCTGTCATATAGAAGTAAAGTATCTGGGATATATTGTGGGCAACGGCATTATTAAAACGGATCCTGCGAAAGTTGAGGCCATGAACATGTTTCCAGAGCCCAGAACAGCAAAACAACTTCGACGATTTCTGGGCATGACAGGATGGTACAGACGCTTTATACAAGATCACGCGACAACTGCTGCACCCCTGCATGACTGTCTCAGCAAAGGTAATTTAAAGAAATTCACCTTAACTGATTAGACCAAAGTCGCTTTTGACAAGTTAAAAACTAGCCTCATTACCGCACCAGTACTGACGAATCCCGATTTTAATCAACATTTTTACATCCAATGCGATGCTTCTGCAGATGGCGTAGGGGGTGTCCTGTTTCAAATAGATCAAGCTGGAAATGAACGACCTATAGCCTATATGTCTTCCAAGTTGATTAAAGCACAAAAGAATTACAGTGTGACCGAACAAGAGTGTCTTGCAGCTGTACTTAGTGTAAAGAAGTTAAGAGCGTATATAGAGGGCCTGCCATTCACAATCATAACGACCATGCGAGTCTCAAATGGTTGATGAACCAGCGTGATTTGTCCGGTAGACTAGCGAGATGGAGCTTGAAATTACAGGCATTTGACTTCAACATAGAACATACATTGTGACCGAAAAGTTTCCGGTCATAAATAAATAAAACGCAAAATTCTTAATCTTCATCAATATTTATTTTATCTCCTTCAAAATATGCTCCATTAGAAGCGATAACACAAATGCCAACGTTTCTTCCAATCATCAAAACATTTTTATAGGCGCTTTCCGGTATGGCTTTGAGTTCCCTCTGCGAATTCTGTTTTACGTCTTCTATGGATTCAAAACGCGTTCCTCTGAGTGGTAATTTGAGGTTGGGAAACAGGAAAAAGTCACACGGTGCAAGATCAGGTGAATACGGTGGCTGTTCGATGGTATTTATTGAATGTTTGGCCTTAAAATCGTTGATAATGTTGAACAAATTGAGGTGAATCGGAACAAGCCGGGCGTTGACACGTCGCATACACAAATTGTCCACCAAAATCAAACGAGCCATCTCACGACCGATGCCTAGCTCTCGTGCTATCTCTCTAACACTCACATGAGGATTTTTGAACACGATTTCCTTTGCCTTTTCAATGTTTTCGTCGGTGGTAGAGGTCGAAGGTCGTCCAGAACGCGGCATGTCTTCGACGGTCGTACGACAGTCCTGAAAGGCTTTGTACCACTCATAAACTTGAGTTTTCGATAAAACTGATTCCCCATAAGCCTTTTGTAGCATTCGCAACGATTCTGCACACGAAATTTCGTTCGAAAAACAAAATTTGATGCAAACTCTTTGTTCAATATTTTTTTCCATTGTTTTTTTCGCAACGCACTACTGAGGTGAACTGGTTTCAACAGCTGCCGTAAACGAACTGTCCGACAGATCGCGCTCATTTTGGCATAGTAATTAAGGACATGTGCTGCCAAACTACATAAACTTAAAATATCGAAAAATATACAGCGCGCGAATTTTAAATGAGAACCTCCGAAAACCTTTCGGTCACAATGTAGAAAAGGTAATCAGAACATTGTACCTGATACACTATCAAGGATGTTTGTTGACGAGATAACACAAGACACACTTATATTAGAATGAATTTTTTTTATATATATATAATTACTTTGTTTGTTTTTTATATATATATAAATTATTCACTAATCTTCAATCACTAAAAATTAGAAATGTGGATTGCTCGCACAATCAAAATAAAGAAATATGTAAAAGCTTTGGCACATTTTTTGTTTTGGTTTCTTTTGATCAAAGTGACAGCAATAGCTTTAGGAGTTGTAAAGATCAATGCTGCCAGAGCAATGCACAATGGAAGTATTAAAATAAGTTATAAAAGGAAAAAAGTGGGTGATGCAGGTGGAACGTTCGGAATGTACAAAAGAAAAACAGTATTAACTGAAGGTTCAAAGAACGACCTCCAAAAGTGTACGGAATGAGTTTACAACGGGTGAAATTACGGAAAGATGATAGATATAAAAAGGAAAGAGTGTTTGCTAGCGGCCTTCTTGAAAATGATTTGAACGGTGACGGTCGATGTCCGCGAGCAGTTAAAAAAGTTTTTTTATTGGTTCAATTTAAAATATGTGATTGAAATATATTAAATAATAAATAAAGTGGATATTTAAAAATAAAATACCAAAATAATGAATACTGAATTGAATACTGCAAATGATTATAATTGATAATTGTGTTATATTAAATTATTAAAAATATTCAGTGGAACAAAAATGTTAAAAATGACAATAGCATTTTTTTTTGCAATGCACTGTACATATGGTGTGAGAAATTTAATAAGTTAAAACTACCTAAAGTGCAGTTTTATATGCAAGTTAGACATATGTACGAATGTACGAAAGAAATATTCTTTACGCTTTAAACGTTTAATTTATTCTTAAAAATCGGAGGCTTGAATTATCGCTAAAGAAAACTAAAAAGTTATAAACTAATATTTAAATATTCTTTACGTTTTAAACGTTTAATTTATTCTTAAAAATCGGAGGCTTAAATTATCGCTAAGAAAACTAAAAAGTTCTAAACTAATCTGTCCACTTAACTGATGGCCATAAATTGAAAACATCCCTATCTCAGTGGCATGAATAAGGCAGCAGCAAAGAACAACAAGTGAAAAGTAAATCCACCGGATGAAGAATTAGTTACTCTAACTGATCCCATTTTACAAATGAATGGCACATCACGCAATGATCTTATTGACTATGCAGAATCTGTAGAAGCTCCACAAGAAAGCAGCAACAAGACAGCAGAAACAACAACAGCTAAGTGGCGAAAAATTCATTATTTCACATGATATACCTATATCATTTATAAAATTTTTTTTTAATAATTATTTTATTATATAATTTTCATAATTTTTATTATTTTTTTTATTATTATTGAATTCTTATATCATTTATATCATTTATAAAATTTTTTTAATAATTATTTTATTATATAATTTTCATAATTTTTATTATTTTTTTTATTATTGAATTCTTATATCATTTATATCATTTATAAAATTTTTTTAATAATTATTTTACTATATAATTTTCATAATTTTTATTATTTTTATTATTATTGGATTCTTAATATTTAATTAAATTAATTGTTGAAACAGGAGTCAGAAGGAAAAAAGGGGAAAAGAAACATTTAAACTTAATATATATGTGGGTATATAGGCAACAACCAATATACTATGAAAGTACTTAAGAGTACAGATAGAAAGAGAGTCTTAGGTTTTATTTTAATTACAGGTTTCCTGGCTGGTGACGTCACCAACGTGGAGGCGATTCGTAAATAAGAGTAGCTGGATAAAAAAATGCTACTTGTAATGATCCTCTCTTTGTTTGTTTATCTTTTTACTTATTTTCTTTTTCTCTTTGGGTTTTTTTTACTCTTGATTTATTTTTGTTTAATATTTCTAATATTATTTGAATTTGTTCATTATTTTCTTATATTTTTTTTTATTTTTTTTTATTTAATATTTCTTTTAATTTTATCATGTCAATAATTTCATTTACATAATTATATTTAATAAAATGAAGTTTGTTAGTTATTTAAGCTTAGTTTAAATACCTTTTTGCTTGTTTTCTTTTTCTCTTTGGTTTTTTTTTACTCTGAATTTATTGTGTTAAATATTTCTAATATTATATGAATTGTTCATTATTTTCTTATATTTTTTTTTATTTTTTTCTATTTAATATTTCTTTTAATTTTATCATGTCAATAATTTCATTTACATAATTATATTTAATAAAATGAAGTTTGTTAGTTATTTAAGCTTAGATTAAATATTTGTAACTCATCATTTATTTTTGTTTGTTTTGATTCAACCAAAAATATAAGTCATTAAAACCAATAATTTTTTTTGTTTTGTTGAAAGGTTATTTAGATATATTATATGGAAAAGAAAAATTCCAACATGATGTCTGGCTAGGGATATATTAAGCTCAATAGGTTAGTACAGGGACATGTTATTAGGGGCGTATAGGAGAAGAATGTAATAGACTGCTTATGAAGATAGAACAGTTGACAGGACTGAAAGACTTGAAAAAAAAAATTACTAAATAGAACTAGATAGAATTTGTCAATGGGACGATATTTTTTTTTGTTTGTTGTCAGCCGGTGGCCAATAGTTGCCAAGAACTTACACCCAAAAACGGCGAGCATACTGGGCCTGTCAGCGTGCCATGCTAGGCTTCTAGAACCACCATAATCACAACATGGCTGACATAACATATGTGTTGTTGGAACACCATGAGTCAATACAGTGGGCCGTTGTATATGTTCAAAGAAATAAAGCCTGGAATAATGGCGACATCGTTCAAGGAATCATTGTCCTTACCTATATTTGAAGAATGTCTTACGTAGTTGCAATTTATCTGCAATATATAGTATTAAATATATTTTTAAGTATTTTAATAAATTATATATTTATACCTGTACACAGCTAGCAACTGCTACTATAAAATTAAAGCGTTTTCGGTGGCTCGCAAATGTGGCAAAAAACGCATGCTGGCTTATATTCGCTAAGCAAGACATTGGCATCACTGTTGCAATCTATCAATCGTTATGTTTTGGCAAATAGCAAATGTTACATATGTACACATCAGAGAATATCTTTTATTGAATGGAAACTAAACCCACCTCGATAAAACTAAGAGAAATTACTTAAGAAAATTCATTTTGTATAACATTTTTGTCACACGTATTAAGTAAGTGTGATTACACCGCACTTTTACGCTCTTTCACGCTCTTTCAGGGCTGTTGCATAACTTTTCTTCAACTACTTACCGTACAAGTTTTTATTTAGACAGATATAAAAACACTCATAAATAAATATAAGTATAAATTACATATAATTTAAGTATTATAATATTTAATTAAATGGATTTATTTACATTAACGTATTATTGTACAAAAAGTTTTTTTGATTGTAATTGAATATGTTACACAATTATTTATACACTTTTCTTAACTATTTATATATTTTTCATGTACGGAAAATAGTTCAGAAGGGTTTCATATAAAATGTTTGAAGCAATAAAAATCTATTTTAGCTTAAAATTGAAAAAAAAATGTTTTGAAATTAAATTCAGTATATTATCATGTTAATAATGTTTTCCATTTAAATGCCTTATGAAGTAAAAATATTTGTAAATTGGGTATATTATATAATGAA